AACCACGACGAGTAATTTGGAACGGAGGGAGTAGATTCTTAGGTGTAAAGTATACTGAAGTTAAGTTACTGCATTGCACATAAATTCTCACTAGTTCTGAAACATTTTGGCTGGTCAGAAGTTCCCTCACTACCTTGTCCAATCCATCACAGTGTATATACCTTCAGAAGCTCAGAAACTGACTGCTTATCTTAAAACCTCGTTTCCTCGTATGCTGAACCTCTCAACACAGCATGTTGTTACCTTCTGAATAAATACATGTTATACATTGCCTGCTTTTGTGTTGTGTCAGCTGATGGTTTTCCTATGTGAATACTCCAGGAAACAAGGACAGCTGGGTATTTTTTCTCTCTCTCCTGTCAACTGCTGTTAGCACATAGCCCCAAGTTCCGGACGGCTGGAAGGAGGATTTTTCTAGAGTGGTTTCTGGAAACTGTGGTTAGTGCCGACCATGCTTCCTGGGTGTTTTCAGCAAAATTTTCGTAATTTGTACGTATGTCATAGTTGGTGATGGATGATAAAGGTGTTTCCGTGCAGCAGAAGAAGGTGTAATGGGATCTCTGCCCTTGGTCTCGAAGGCTTTGGTAATTCATCTAACATGGGAATATTCGACAAGAATTAGTTGATCTGGACACTGAAGATTCCTTAAGGACAAGAGGTATGCCAGTTTGAAAATAACTTTGCTCCACAGTAACATACCATGTTTTGTCTAGTACATTCTGTTGATAAAATTCATGTGGGTTAGTACCACAGGGCACAAGTTTGTATCCTTGTGGCAAATAAGCTTACGTCTCATCTGTTTTACACTGAAAAAGAATTGGGGAATCACTAGGGACACATAGCAGATTGTTCTCCAGGAAAAGAAAGAAACAAAAACAAGCAAACCAGTCTGATCTGAACGTGAATATAGAGCCATAATAATTAAGGTAAAAAGCAGACCAAAGAAGTAAATCAAAGGCATACAAACTGACATTCTGATAGGTATAATATAACCAGCTGCCACAAGGCTGGAATAAGGCACTGAAAAAAAATCAAAACACTCACAGATTTCTCCATTACTTAAAGCAGAAATAACAAGTTTTACACATGATTACATGCAAGGTGATGGGAAAGAAATAAAACGAGTTCGGACACTGCCAGGAAACCTGCTGTAACTTGCCGAAAATCAAACTAGTCACTACGGGGCAAAAACCTGGCATCACTTGACATTCAGAGTTCCAGAATCACTACTTATTACAGCTCAGCATGAGCAGCCTCTCAAGGCCAAAAGCAACGACTCAGCAGAGCACATCAGATAGATTCGCTTCTGAAGTTCCAAAATATTAATCAAAGATTATTCTTGGTCCCTTACGATCTTCCCTTGCTGCAGTTGCCATTTCTTTTACTATTGATTCAGTGGAACAATGTAGCTTGTTTTTTGCTGGCAAGAAGAACATAATGTACCTGGATTGCGAGGTGCCTCTCCGCAACGAGGTCACCATTACCCAACACTATGCTTGTAGGAAGCATATCCGGTGGCTTAGTGCCATGGGCAACGGGTGAAGACCAGCAAATTGATTGTAATCACCTGAATCATTATAAAAAAATTAAGGGGAAAAAGCTGCAATGAGTATGAATAGGATTACTAACTATACTTTCTAGATTATTAACTTGTTGTCGCAATGATTGTGCAACTGAAATATTGCGTAACTTACTCACATGAACTGACAAGATTCACACGTATTGCAAGAATTCATAGCGGAGAAACACAGAAACAAAAAGAAGTTTCAAACCAATAACTAGGACGCCCAGTGCAAGCACACACATCACAGTATATGATAGAGCCTCATTGCTCTGGTTTTTGGCAGTGGCTAATGTGGCGTAGGTGGCACATAGCACGCCCACCCTGTATAAGAACATGGGCGAAGGATCAAAAATTCAAAATTGAGTCGAAGAACGGTTGTTGGATGCATCACGAGGTAAAACTTATTTTTTGCTCAAAGCATATATATGGTAGATTCTACTGATACATCAACTTGCATCGTTCTCCCATATACTACGTATCCCAGTGGTTTCTCTGCGCGTACCATAAGAAACAAATGATCATGAGTTGCTAGTATTTCACAACTAGGAGTATAAATACTAGCCATGTGCTAGCACATGCAAGTACTTCTGGATCTATTCAGGAAACCTTGAAGGAAACAACTTCTGGATCTAGCTGCGGTGTTTTGGTTGGCCATCCATCCCGGTGCATCTGCGTCACCGGCATGCTCCGGGAGCTGCGTCCCCTTCCAGTTCCCTGGGCCCGCCGTCGTCCCTGCTGCTCCGGTCCCGGTGGCCCGGATCCGCGTTCCTTCCGGATCCTGGCTTATCTGGGGCTATGGTCACCGTCCCATCCCCACTTCATTCCGCGCAGCCACGCATCCTCGTCCTCCTCCGGAGTTCGCGCGCCCGGCGATGCATGATGCCTCCTTTGGCACCGCGCGTGGCTCCCCTTCCTGCAGTCGCAGCACCAGCCTACACCCGATGACCTCCTCTTCGACTCGTGTTCCGACGGCTTGGGATTGCTTGGAATTGGCCAGGGCGAAAGCCCTGCATCTTTTGCTGGCAGCGGCGACACCCGCGGGTGCCGTCACCTTCCTGGAGGCGTTGTCATGGCCGTTCTGTGCCCCTCTTCGAGCATCAGGGGAAACTCTAGGTCCGGGTTTCTGGATCGGACGACGACGACGTCTCGGCGTCGTTCTCCTTCTTGAAGGCATTGTCTTGGTTGCTCGCGGCGGCCTCGGTGCGGGCTTCGGAATTTTGGTCGTCTAGTTGTAGATTGGTTTGCTTCTCTGGTCAGAGAGTTTAGCCGTGTTCTTCTTTGTTTGGGTCGTGCATCTTTCATCTCTTCGCTTCGGGCACCATGTTCACGCCCCTTGCGTCCGTGTCATGTGTTGTACCAACTCCTGTAATCATTCTTACTCCTTCTATCAATGCAATGATACGCAAGCTTTGCGTATTCGAGAAAAAAAAAACAACTGATTGCACCTCCATGGACTTAACAAATTGAGCAAACGACAGCAGATGAGCTAAACAGTTGAAAGCATCCATGTTGCATGCTTGGCTGCAAGTGATCAGCCGTCCAAGCTAAGACAAAATTTGTGGAGTTCCTTAAACTAATCAAAGATCACATGACTGTATGCCTAACACAAGCTAGCTGACACCCAGACACCCTTGCAATTTCTTACCGCCTAATTTGGGCCATCTCTTTACTATAAAATTTGATGCGAATCTCGAAGCACCATACGTGCATACTATATAATGAACGATGAAGGAAATAAAGTAACACAAGCCCACATGCAAGTTTCTTCATGAGATCAAGCCCAATCCATCTCTAGGAGGACAACTGCTGTCAAGATGCAGCCTATAAATTTGTACTAGAAACATAAAGACATATCACGAACATGACTTTATTATGGAAAATACTGATGTAAAAATATCCAGGCAACTAAAAACTTGTGTATAGCAGTTTAAAGTTTAAAGGTATGAATCTCCCACAGGAAATAATGTTGGCAGCAATTCAGCATATTACAAACAAGAGTATAAGCCGTTTTCCATAGCGAGTCAGCAATTTTACTAAGCTAATAAATGGTCCATGTGCACCAAGACAATGTGCATTCATTGGAGGTAGGATATGACATCATCACTTTCAATGCTACTCTTGAAACTTCAAAATGTTTCCACTCTCATACTGTTAATTTAATTTATGATCCTTCTTTATTGTTCGTTTTGTCTCGGCGAGATCTACTAAGCTAGACCCTATGTTGCTTTTTTCGACAATTTCTTTTAATTTTAAAGTTGCTACCTGATTTTTCATGAAGTGCCACACATTGGTATCAACATTAATACGTGACAACTCGAAAGTCATGTTCTGCTCGCGAGCTCATTTGAGCCCATGATGAACAGTAAAATCACAAAAATATGAAAACAAAATAAAAAATCTGATTATTTTTGTGATGAACTTCCACAAATGTTTTAAGTGCTTACAATATGTTATCGTGAAGTCATATTCGTGGAAGTCATGGAAACAAATCAGCACTTGAAAATGCTTTTGAAAATAACACTTTTGGAGCAACGATTTATCTTTGTTCCACGACTTCCACGAATGTTATTCTTTGATGTATTTTTGCAAGCACTAAATTGTTAATGTTTGCACCAGAAAAATATCAGAATTTTTGAATTTGTTTCCATTTTGTTTTCCAGAATTTACTGTTCACCCAAGCTCATTTCAGCTCGAGCTCAAAAACTCTGCGTCCGTGACAACTTTGCTATCAAACATTGACAATTTTGATGCTAATACAATGGCAATTTCAATAATCGTTGGATGACAACTGTAGAGTTGTCAAAACATGCCCAAGTTGGATCTAATTACGAAGTCCTCAATGATTACGATGAAAATGGAATATAATTCAGCCTACTCTTATGTCCCCTTGTGTCTTATTACTATCTAGCCAAGACTCTCAGCTCGGGACCCTCTATCTGAGATCCGCCGGATCCGACTTCGTCAATTTGCGGCTCAAACTCATCTGGTTGCATGTGAGTCGGACAAATTCTGGGGACAAGCAGCATCAAACCCTGACAATGATTGTACTTTTCTTTGGGCCTTGCTAATCTCGAAGCGTAACAGTTATTTATTAGTGAATAAGGACAGAACACTAAATACATTACTACTTCTACTAGCAAGTTAGTACAACGTCTCTGGCAGGCATACTTCCGTTGTTGTATCAATACTCACGAGCCGTACGTCTCTCTCAAATCGATCCCTGCTGGGAGGTTTTCCAAGTTTCTTCGTTGATCAATCGACCTGCACGGCACGGATCAGGTATGTTATCCCGTGTAATCACTAGCAATCTAGCATGCAGTTGGAGAACTTCTTTCTTTGCAAAAACAACGATATGCGCAAGACCAATTACATACAGTACCTCGTAGATGACTGAATATATGACAATTGCTTTCTCACTGCAAAACAGGAGCTATTCATGGGTTCATTTTGGCTGGAGAAGAAGGTCGTGGAGAATGTCAGTTTATGGGTGACCCGTTGCTCGGTCCTCTTGAGCTTCGGGGCGCATCTTGTCCTCGCGCTCCTCGCCGGTATCCGACGGCGTGAAGACAACCGCGTGCAGAGGTTTCCGCTGTGGCTGGCGTATCAGGTGGCTGACCTGGCCCCGAAATTGGCCATCGGCAAGCTGTACCCTGACAGCCCGTCAAGCAGCAATCAGCTGTTCGCGTTCTGGGTGCCCTTCATGCTGCTGCACCTCGGTCTCACCGACAACATCAGCGCCTACTCCCTAGAGGACAACAAGCTGTCGTGGCGCCAAATGGTGGAGATGGGCCTGCTACTCGTTGTAGCGTTGATTGGCGCATACAACCAAAGATTCCTGAGCGGCGACAGGGGTTTGTGCTCGGCGTTCGTCATGATGTTCTTCCTGGGTTTCTATAAGTATGCGGAGAGGATATGGGCACTACACCTAGCTGGCTTCGCCCGCATCCGCAGCTCATACAAGAAGAAGATGACAAGGCGCTTCAGTCCTCATCAGGTCGACCCCGCCGAGCTGGAGCTTAGTCTTCATCGGATCGAGAGCGACGAGCTGGATTATTATGACGCCCTGTGTGACGCTCACGGCCTGCTCGGTGTCTCCACGGGCGCCTTTGCAGATTATTCAGTCAAGCTCCGTGAGAAGCCACGAGACGATGCTTTCACGACACCGTATACCTACAGGAAGGATGTTGTGAAGGTGGTGGAGATGGAGCTCTCGCTCATGTATGACATCATGTACACCAAGGCAGCAGTTGTCCACACTTGGCCTGGCTACATCGTCCGTCTCGCCTCGCCGCCCATCACTCTCGCCGCCCTCTTGCTGTTTATCATCTTCCACATCAAAGAGGGCCACAAGCACAAGGGGATAGATATCAAGATCACTTACACCCTGCTGATTGGCACCTTGCTGCTGGATGTGAGATGGCTGATCAGAGCTCTGGGCTCGACCTGGACATACGCATTCTTGAAAGATACAAAATGCGAGCTGCTCAAGTACAAAGCAGTTTGCTGCCAGAGAGGGTGGTGGTATGTGCTCCGTCGCTTCCTTCTCTATCTGGATCTGTCCCGTTGTCTGTGGGGTCGAAAGGAAACCAGCCACAGGCTTTGGTCGCGCACCATCGGGCAGCACAACTTGTTGCACGAGTGCACTGATGGCACACCGATGAGCAAAATTGGATGAATGGGCAACTCCGGGGTCAGGTCATTGCTGAAATTGTTATCTAAAAGCGTACTGCCCAAAACATACTTGGTGATCTCGCAGCGAGATAAAGACAACCCTGAAACTTATGTCAGGCATCGGACATACGGTCAGACGTCAAACGGCGAGCAAAGACTCTTCGATGCTGAATTTGATGAGCTCGTCATCACGTGGCACATTGCCACTGACATCTTCCTCTTGGGCAGAAACGACCTTGCTGGCTCTGATGTCATCTGCCAGAAGGTCAAGGCGCTATCAGATTACATGTTGTTTCTCGTCGTTAAACGCCCGGAAATGTTACCAAGCCTTAAACTCCAAAGGAAATACAAAGAAATCCATGATGCTTTGAAGAAAATTGAGTATGATCGCTCCAACCGCAGTACAGACAAAGAGAATCTTGTCAGAGCACTACGAGAGATGCAGCAGAACGGGATCATTCATTTACCTGAGTTTCTCCGGGACGCTATTAAATACGCCAATCTGCTCGAGAAGCTATGTCTTCCGCCTGGGCATGACCAAGAGAGTTATGATAAGGATTGGAAAACAATTGTCAGCGAAGCTGGGATACATGCTCTAGATCCATCGGTGAGTAAACTTATAATTTTGGTCACGGCATTCCAGAAATACGCACAACCACCACAACCTCCTAAGCGTCCTGCGCTTGTGGGCTGGCCATTGGAATGGGTGTTAGAGAAATTCGTCCTCCAAACATGGATCCGTTTGCTCATATTGGGGTCCATTCGCTGCAGCAGGGATTCACACGCCAAGCAGCTCAGCAACGGAGGTGAGCTCACAACGATCATCTGGATCCTAGCTGAACACAGAGAAATAGTCGATCTATCGGAAACCATTATCTACCCCCACGATTTATGGGAAGAGCCATCCACACCACTGGATTCGCCCTAGTGGAACTCAGGCAGAGCCAATAATAAATTCGGTGTAATCTTGTGATCACAGGAATCCCGCTTTTTTATCACTTGCAACTTGTTTTGTGAGTATTATTCTTGAACTTGTTATTTGTGATTATGAGGAGGTTATGGGCTATGTAATTTGTTCAAGTTTCTCAGAAATAAAGTACTAGTATTTGTTCTAAGAGAAAAGTCTAATTTTTTTGTCCCTCAGCTAACCGAGGAGTGCAGATTTTATCCTTCGAGCTAATTTTTGGTCCCTCGAGCAGTTGGCGCGCCAAGATCATGTCCATGGACCGTGGCACGGTCCGGCCTGGCGGCCGCGCGCGAACTGCGGTGAGACCATGAACGCGTCGACGTGCTCGTCTACAACACCGGCCGGGATCGGCTGCACATGCTCGGCCAGCTGTGGCTTGTGCGGCCATGGACGGCATCATCGTCAGCGTGCTGGACACCAGCGTGTGGTTTGGGAGGCCGACCTACATTGTGGTGTGACAGCAGCAACGCAGCCGGCGCGCGCGGCATCTACGCGCACGGAGCAGCGGATGGGCGAGCCGGCGACAGCAGCACCGCAGCGGCCCGCGAACGCTGTGTGCAGGCTCGGTCGTGGTGGCACTTTACGCTAGGCGCGGCGGCGTTCAGGGGAGCAGCCAACAGCGCGGTGGCTAGCAGGTTCACAGGTAGTGGCGGCCTGGTGGATGGTGTCACGAGGCAAGGCCGTGGCAGGGTGCAGCAGGCACAGCGGCACGATGCACGGAGGCTTGGACAAGCTTGCGAAGTGCCAACGGCAGCCAGCGGGGAGAAGCAGTGGCACTTTTCTTTTTTTTCCCACACGACCTACTCCCTCCGTCTCAAAATATAAGAGCGTTTTTGACACACGGGACTCCGATAAGTTGCCGGAATAAAGACGAATGGAAAGGCTTGTGGACATGACCAAGACAAGGGCTAGTAGCACTTTTCTCAGGAATTGCCCCCGAGGACAAAGGATTTTCATCTCGCAAAGTGTAAAAAACGCTCTTATATTATGAGACAGAGGGAGTAGCTTATAGACCGGTTCCACTATCAAAAGATACACATCATCCAAAACACAAAACACGGCAGCCAGCGGGGAGAAGCGGCGGCATGGCTCCCAGATCAACGTGGCGCGCGCGTGCAGCATGTTTGCGAGGTGACCGAGCACGGCACCGTCATCAGCGAGTGTGCACCTGGCCGCGCCCCGGTGCTCAGGGACTTTGCCGTGTTCGTGCCGTTCAGGCTATGGTTGCTCTGGACGATTTCTTTCCGTGGAGACCGCGTACGTACACAACAAAGATGGCTTTGCATGCTTCGAGAACTATCGAAAATCTAGCGCATCAAAACAACAACCGCCGCCGATGAAGAATAACGTAGATCGAAAGAATCCAACCTAAATTCACAAGAACATAGACGAACGATGACCAGATCCAAGCAGATCCACCAAAATCAGATTTGTCATAGACACACCTTCACACGTCCACCAACGATGCTAGATGCACAACCGAGACGGAGGATAGGAGGAGAGAATCTGATTCCATCTTCAGAGAGTCGACAACGTCTCGCCTTCCAAACAGGACACAAACGATTTCTCCTATTTGGCAAGAATGTCGCACCTTAGCGACCTAGCACATAACCCTTCGAGCACCGATCCTTTGTTTGGGCCAACCCATTTCGGGTTTCTTCCCCACTAATTTTGCGAGTCTTTTTAAATTTGTGAATTTTTAAAATACATGAATATTTTTTGAAACCATGAACATTTTTCAAATTCTTTAGCTTTCTTACAAATTCATGGACATTTTTTAAATCATGAATATTATTCGAATTCCTGATTTTTTTTACAAATTCATGAACTTTTTTTGAAATTGTCAACATTTTTTTGAAACTCATGATTTCTTTTTAATAGGTGAACGTTTTTTGAAATTTGAGAACAAGTTGGAAATTCATGATTGTTTTTTGGCTTTGACGAACATCTTTTTGTGAAATGCTTAAACATTTTTTGAAACATTGAACGTATTTCTGATTTTTCTGAATCTTTTTAATAAATACATGAACATTTTTTGTGGAATTTTTTGTACATTTTCATTAACCTTTTTTAATACGAAAATTTGTGAAAAACAGGAAAAATAATAAATTTCCCAAACTTTTTTTTCCCTAGGGTCACCACGTGGGGGTCCCTCGCCAAGGATCTCATGTTTGTGGTCGTCGATGCGCTCCGCCCTAGGGTCACCACGTGGGGGTCTCTATTGCCTCTGCTCTTCGACCAAGATGGCGCACACGGTGGCTACTATGTCGGAGAGGATTTTTTCCCACTTTGCCATCTATTTGGGCTCTTGCGCATCTTGTCCTGCTGTTGTGCTACTAATAAATTGTTGTCAGAAAAGTTATCTCTCAGGTGTGGTTGAATTGACAACTCAACTGTTAAAGCTTAGAAATATTTATTGGCTCCTCTTGTGTCGAATCAATAAATTTGAGTGGAATACTACCCTTGAATATTGTTGCAATCTCATATACTTGTGGGTCATCAGGGGGGCTGCAGACGTCCTATGATGCCTGGGCGACAGCCGAAGAGGTACAACAGCGGCGGCGGGCGAGGAGGGTGGTAATGCAGAGTGAGGGGGGGGAGGGTGGAGTGGAAGAAAAGTGGATAGGAAAGGGGATTTGAGTGGGAAGGGGTGTCAGAGTCATACATGGCGATGGTCTGGACTCCTACAAAGCCCGTCCCCCTTCTCCAAGTGCCTCCGTCTTACGGGAAAACGGACGCCCGAACCGGTTCACGAACTGATGGGGTACCGTGTTGGATAGCAGAATGGGTTCAGATGGATGTCGGGGATTTAAGATTCAGCGTTGAAAATGCCCTAAGGAGGGGAAGTTAGCGGGTCCATATGCCAAGCACGGTTAAGTCACTTGGCTTATGTGAGAGAATCATAACTAGAAAAGGGGCTAAATAAAAAACCTAAGAACACGTGAAGAGGGGTGTTGACGTAACAATGGGCAAGAGAGAAAGAATTGGTTGAGAGATTGGTGAGAGTGACTGGACAATGATTACTTGCCTGGTGGTGTTCTGACCGAGTTGATCAGGTCATGCAAGATTTATTCCACGTCAGCTATGACACATGTGTTAGATGTGTATAGCCCTTTTCGGTTTATCCTCATTGTATAAGGGGTCTCTTGCACTTTACCACACACCTGTATATGTATTGGCCTTTGGCCCTCCTGAGAATACAGTTGCTATTTCTCCAACATGGTATCAGATGTTAGGTTCCCATCTCCCCCGCACGCTGCAACTCCGTGCTAGCTCCTCTCCTGATCCATCCTCTGCCGGCTTTCCTTGCCGTGGATCCAGTCAACCAGGCTCTCCTCGCGGATCTCTTTGCCACGGACCTGGCCATCCACTTCGCGCTCGTGTCCGCAGCCGCCCGTAGGCGTCGCCCCTGTCCGCCGGCTACTCTGCCCGCGGCCGCCGCTGCTGGCCTCGTGCCCCGCCCGGCTGCCGTCGGCTCCTCGCGCCCTCTGGCCGCCGCCGCCTCCTGGCCGCGCCTGACCGCCGCCTCCCGGCCGC